TAGTTTTATATCACTGGCAGACATAAATAATGGTATTTACCACCAAAACATGACCCCGGCAACATAACCACAAAAACCTAAGCACTAGCAACAACTCCAATGGCATTGGCTGAAAAAGTACAACATTTGCATACTGCAGTTGTTGCTGTGCTACTACCATTCGGAATTGAACACATTTTAACTGCCATGTTGCCAATGGCAATTTTCTAAGCCAAACTTTGGTGAAATTAATTTAAAATCAAAATCATCACTCGAGAAAAGTTTGAGTTGAGTTGTTTTCGCCCGAAAAAAAGATATTACAATTTGGAATGCTCCGTCGGGGTGTTGTTCTTTTTTTTATTTGGTTGGTAGGTATTAGAGTAAATCCTACCAACCAAACACAATTTAGAAAACTATTTTTGTTTAGTTGTGCACATACTCAATCATTCAAATAATTGGAATGGGGATATGAGAGTTGGTGGGTGGAAAAAATGTTAAATATAAAATAATGTGATGTAATCCTAGGGGATTTGAGTTGAAAATAGATTTCATTTGGATTCAAAATTTTATATGCACTTCTTCCTAAGTGAATTCCAATAACATGGTGCTGTCTGTACATTGCAAAAGAGCATCTAAACGTTTTCCAATAACTACAATTTGAAAGTCATAAATCATTTTTCTTTCTAATTTCCTGAACATGTATTTCGTTACTCCTAAAAATATGCATTACATTTCTTTACTTTTCAAGTTACTTCCTAAAAATATGCAATTTTCTACTGACATGTCTAAGTATGATTTATGTTTTCCTTTTCATGTAAATAAATGAAATATATTCATACCATATATCTTCTATTGCATATGGTGTATGGGCTGTGCATATATTGGAGAAAATCGCATTGTCTACTTTTAGGCGGTTTCTTAAGTAGATTATATTAATTAATATTTGAAAATTGATTATATTGCCCTGACCATTGATTTGCACTTTTACATAGGCACAATTGACTAATTAATTTTTAGTGGTTTTGATTTACGTCACAAGTGGCCAATTAAATATTTCGATAGGCTGTGCTGGTCGATATTGTAAATAATACAAATTAAGATGGATTTGTAGGATACCGCAGAGTTAGGGAAGCTTTGTAGATGTAAGAAATTATTGTATTTAAAATTGGAATGGTAATATGTGAATATGTTCAGAATTTTAAGAATGTTTGCAAGGGGGATTTGCCAAGGGAACAATAATAGGTGTGGCTTTTTAAAGGATTTTTTTCAAGGACTATTAGAGGCGTGGATTTTTGTAAGAATATTTGGTCAAGGACTATATAAGGCGTGGATTTTTTAATGAATATTTTTTCAATGACTATATAAGGCGTGGATTTTTTAATGAATATTTTTTCAAGGACTATATAAGGCGTGGATTTTTAATGAATATTTTTTCAAGGACTTTTTTAATGAATATATAAGGCGTGGGCGACTATATGGCGTTTTTTAATGAATATTTTTTTATATAAGGCAAGGACTATATAAGGCGTGGATTTTTTAATGAATATTTTTTCAAGACCCATATAAGGCGTTGAATTTTTAATGAATAATTTTTCAATACCCAAAGAAGGAGTGGATTTTTTAATGAATATTTTTTCTAGGAATATGAGACCAATAGGCGTGGATTTTTTAATGAATATTTTTTCAAGGACTATATAAGGCGTGGATTTTTTAATGAATATTTTTTCAAGGACAATATAAGGCGTGGATTTTTTAATGAATATTTTTTCAAGGACAATATAAGGCGTGGATTTTTTAATGAATATTTTTTCAAGGACTATATAAGGCTTTTTACAGGAGAATATTTTTTCAAGGACTATCAGTAGGCGTGGATTTTTTAAAGAATATTTTTTCAAGGACTATCAGCAGGCGTGGATTTTTTAAAGAATATTTTTTCAAGGACTATCAGCAGGCGTGGATTTTTTAAAGAATATTTTTCAAGGACTATCAGCAGGCGTGGATTTTTTAATGAATATTTTTTCAAGGACTATCAGTAGGCGTGGACTTTTTAAAGAATATTTTTTCAAGGACTATCAGTAGGCGTGGACTTTTTAAAGAATATTTTTTCAAGGACTATCAGTAGGCGTGGACTTTTTAAAGAATATTTTTTCAAGGACTATTACAGGCGTGGATTTTTTAAAGAATATTTTTCAAGGACTATTACAGGCGTGGATTTGTTAAAGAATATTTTTAAAGGACTATCAGAAGGCATGGATTTTTCTAAAAATATTATTTCAGAGACTATGAGAGGCGCGGATTTTTCTAAGACTATGAGAGGCGTGGATTTTTCTAAGAATATTATTTCAAGGACTATGAGAGGCGTGGATTTTTCTAAGAATATTATTTCAAGGACTATGAGAGGCGTGGATTTTTCTAAGAATATTATTTCGAGGACTATGAGAGCCGTGGATGTTTCTATGAATATTATTTCAAGGACTATGAGAGCCGTGGATTTTTCTAAGAATATTATTTCAAGGACTATGAGAGCCGTGGATATTGCTAAGATTATTATTTCAAGATTATTATGAGAGGCGTAGAGTTCTTAAAGAATATGTTTTCAAGGACTATGAGAGGGGTAGAGTTCTTAAAGATGTGTTCCCAACTCTATGCGCGGCATAGAGTTCATTTTTCACGGACTATTAGAGAAGAGGATTTTTGAAGATCATTTAATGAATAATTCTTTAAGGACTATTGGAATATTATCCATTAACTTAAAATATAAAATGTGATTCAAAACTAAACCCCTCTGTTTTATTTTGAAAACTGTATAGTTCTTCCACGAAATATAGGGCAGTAAAACTGCTTCCATTTACGTTTGTTAATAAAACTGGAACAACAACAATAAAGTATTCTCGCAAACAAACTAACCATAAATTCATGTTTTAACTTATATATTGACCGACACACACACATACAAACACGTGTCCTTTTCCACTTCCTATAGTCACCACGTTTTTCGGTCACAAACAAACTGATCCAATAAAATCCGTAAAACGTACAGTAGCACAGCGTGCAATGTTTTACACCCTGGAAATACAACTACAAATAATGCACCATAAAATGTTGTCTCGCAAAAGCTTTTTAAGACAAAAAAGGATAGCAGAAAAAAACTCCTTCGAAAGAGAAATAAATAAAAATTGGTAACAACTCCCTGGTAGAGGAGAATCAGGACATATGTAGGTAGATGCCAACCATCCCGGTACAATCCTAACAAATACCACGAATTGAAATATAAATAATGTACAATCCATATACACGTATAACGTGTTGGAAATGTATTCGCTTGGACTTGTCTGCCATTGTCTGCTGGATGGCAAGCGAAAAGAAGGAGTTGGAAAACGTTTTTCGTTCGTTCGAAACAGATTGTTTGAATCAGAAGCGCTAGGTGCTATCTTTTTCCGAGGGTATTTTGGGTATTTTGGGGCGGGCGGGCAATAAGAAAAAAGAACAATTTGCTACTGCAATTGGAACAGATGATGCCAAATAGGTAGCGCCAGTAGTTGGTTGGTTGCCATAGTAAATGCATTCATCTTTCTTTTTTTTGGGAAGTCATACAAATAAGACAGGGTAATAAAAAATATGATTGCAAAAAAGAAACAGAAGGGCAGCATATAATAGGGGTATTAAAAAAATAATATTTAATGATATATATTTCTAGGACTATAAGGAGGCGCGGATTTTTTAAAGAATATTTTTAAGGGCTTTAAGAGTACCAGATTGTGTAAAGAGTATTTTTTCGGGACTATAAGGAGGCGTGGGTTGTGTAAAGATTTTTTAAGGACTAATTATGGAATGGATTTTTAAGGAATATTCTTTCAAGCATTAGTTATGGCGTGGATTTTTTAAAGACACACTTTTCAAGAACTATTACAGGCGTGGATTTTTTACAGAATATTTTTTAAAGCACTATAAGAGGAGTGGTTTTTTTAAGGACATTATTTTCAAAGACTATTGAAGGCGAGGATTTTTTAAAGACATTATTTTCAAGCACTTTAATAGGCGTGGATTTTTTAAGGACATTATTTTCAAAGACTATTCAAGGCGAGGATTTTTTAAGGACATTATTTTCAAGCACTTTAAGAGGCATGGATTTTTTAATGACATTATTTTCAAAGACTATTGAAGGCGTGGATTTTTTAATGACATTATTTTCAAAGACTATTGAAGGCGTGGATTTTTTAATGACATTATTTTCAGAGACTACTGAAGGCGTGGATTTTTTAATGACATTATTTTCAAAGACTTTTGAAGGCGTGGATTTTTTAATGACATTATTTTCAAAGACTATTGAAGGCGTGGATTTTTTAATGACATTATTTTCAGAGACTATTGAAGGCGTGGATATTTTAAGGACATTAGATTTATTTCAGGGTATCATTATTCAGGGTCTATCGGGGGTGTGGTTTTATTAAAAATATTTATTTCAGGGTCTACCAGAGGCGTGATTTTATTAAAAATATTTATTTCAGGGTCTACCAGAGGCGTGTTTTATTAAAAATATTTATTTCAGGGTCTTTAAAAAATCCACGCCTATAGATGGCTGTGATAATTTTTGAGAAAATTTTCTTTAAAAAATCCACGCCTATGGATGGCTGTAAAAAATTTTGAGAAAATTTTCTTTAAAAAATTCACCACTGTTCCGGATCTATTAGAGGCGTCTACAAGAGACGGAAAATTTAATATGAATTATTTTTCTAAATACTACGAAAGGAGGGGAATTTTTAACGACTATTTTTTTATGAACTATAGAACGATTGAAATTTTAACAAATATTTTTATGAACTATAAAATTATTATTTTTAGAAATTTCGAATTATTTTGTTAGGGATTATTGTTGGCGTGGTTAATAACCCTTTCTAAGATAGTAAAAGTTTTGATTGTCAAATATAAAATATGGAAGCCAAGATTTATGTCATAAAATATTGTTAAAAATAATAGTACAGGAAAAAATTTTGAAAAAAGAAAAACAAATGTCAACTTACCGAACCCTTACGTCCTGGAAAACTAAAAAATACATCAGGACCATTACGATGTGGCATTTGTCTTAAAACATTTAACAGTTTTGCCGAATGGCGTGGCCATTTGCCATTTACTGCTTTCATGGTACCGAACAGCAGTTTCAGCTCCTTGACGGTAATACTGTAGCTGGCTAAGACACCCAGCATTTCGATAAGAAGATCTGTAATGAGAAAAAAGAAAAAAGAAAAAAAAAACATTACATATAGATAAATTAAATATGTATAAAAACGGTAAGGGTAATGATGATAATTTTTAGCGGTTAATGAAAAATAAACACAAAATATAATTAAAAGGAAATCTGTTATAAAAAACATAGCGAGAAGGGAGAAGAGATGAACTGAGCTGAAGCAAAAATAGAGACTATGTAAACACTATAATTTATTGTTTTTAATTAATTACACACAACTTTCACAAAGCCTAAAAGTAGGCTTTTGACTAGAGTACTGCTGCTGCCAGAGAGCAACTGTTTACTCAAGGCGCAATGTTTGTTTATTTAAGAAGAAATGGTTTTTGTTAATTATATGAAATACTTTTCTGTTAAGGTTTTCCAACATTCAAAGGGAAAATTTATAAAAGGGAAATACAAATATATTTGAAGTGGGATGAACTAAAAAAATACACAAATAGTAATTATACTTTTTATTTTGGAAAACAGTTTATTTGGTTTATATTATCTGAAATGGGCTGTCAGATTAGACAGCAGTCGTATGAAGTCATAGAGTATGGAGTGTAGAGTCTGGGGTATATAAAAGGGCCAGAGGAATGGTTGATTTTGGCTAAAAGTAATTAAACAGTGAACCTGCATATAGTTATATTAATTCGAAGTTTTCTAACATCCTCCTAACCACTGAATTCTGGTAACCGGAAGTTTTTTTTCTAGCATTCAGAGTTTGGATCACAAGAACACCATATTTTTCAGAAAAAAAAACACATAACCTTTTCCACACATCCACCTTCATTCATCTGTAGAAAATTTTGTGTTCTTATTATGCACAGCTTATAACACCTTCAAACACACCAGCTAATTAACCTTTAGATTTCTTGAAGCGTAGCGCAGTTGGCACAACACAGATGAAGATAAAAAAACTCAACGCAGAGAAACAAATTCACACGAAAATAATTCCCACATCAAGGATACTGGCGGGTGTCTTTTGTCTTCATTACAAAGGCGGCGACGAGTCGGTTGGGGAATAAAAAAAAATATGTGCGATTCAAAGTCTAACATATACACTCACACTCCCACACATTTTGTAAATGAGCGAAGTATTAGTATGCTTACGACGGTGCTCATTCATCTGTCATATATATCCTTGTGCTGATTGTATGCTCATTAGGTTTTTATTAATTGTGCACGTGTTGACTGGCATAATGAACTCACTCATACGCGCATACTGATATACACACATAGAGAAGTATGAAGTCAGTCAGCCACGCAAACGGAAGTTATGTTGGTTGCATGCATGATACTTAGAACTATTTATTTTGCAGCTCTTCTGAATTCGTCCTTGTGTTACTACTCGAAAATTTATGTTTCACTTGAATGACTAATTTGCAAGATGATATTCTGTGGAATTAATAAATCGTAGAAATATGAGAAATATATTTAGTTGAAAAGGATAATGAAGTGATAATTCGATGCTGGAGCGAAATTATCATCATAAATTAAAAAAAAACACACACAAACAAAAATGAACAGTTGCTTTGGATAACAGATATGTACCTTGAAATGCAATCAACTATAGGTAGATTTATATAATATTAGGAAGATTTATAGAGAAAATATGGGTAAATATGTTATTCCAAGCTCCATAATGGCACTGTGATTTATATAAGTCTATGGAGGATATTATTTCAAGAGTGGAATTTTCCAAAATCCATCCCAGCAAATAATGTTAATTTTTACCACATTATTTGAATCGTATATCACAAAAAGGGGGGATTTTTATGTCCCAATATGAGATGGAATGTATTTAAAATTAAAATACATTCCATTAAAATTCAGTACATATCGCTCATTTGCTACAAAACAGGCATAACTCAAAAAAAAAACCGATTTTGCTGAAAATGCGTTTTAAGTTTTCAATTTACTCACACTTTATATGGGACAGAGGAACTTCTACAGCTTCTCAATTAGAGCGTGAAAGAGATATTCATATGAATTTTTTACACAACATGAGGTCTATTATAGCGAACAATCGTGCATCGTTAACTCGAAAATCACGTTTTTTGAGTTATGCCTCTCTTGCAGCAAATTATCGATATATTCTTAATCGGAACGAAATTTATTTGAGATCTGTAAGATAAAGCTCCCAATATTTAAAAAGAGCATTTTGACTTCCCTCTAAAATTAACAAAATGGTGACCTTTGAAAAAATATTTGTGGAAAATCGCCGATTTTTTACCAAAAACCAAGTTAAAAAATAAGGAAGATCTTCACCGATTGGCTTTATCCTAGTTCATACGATAGCTATACACTCACAGAGAAATGTGTAAAAATTTGAAATCGATTGGGTTTTTAGTTTTTGAGTTATCGTGCCCGCCATTCACAAAAAATGTTTAGAGAAAAACGCGTTTCAAGTTTGAGAAGCCCTTCAGCCGTAACCTGGTACTGACACAATAAATCGGCTATATCTTCAAGAGTTCTTGAGATTTTCACTTGAAATTTTGTAGGGACATTTATTAATTAGTGTAGATTCGAATTATATCAACAAAATTTTTGACCCCGAGAATGGGGGGCCCCATTTAAATTTAGCACATACATTGCTACTACCCCTAGGGTATTTTGTATTGAAAAGAGGTATAAATAGATTCAGGATTTGGATATGGCGACCATATAACTGAAATGTATATATTCGGAGTTTTTGAAGTTTTCAGCCGCACTTGCCAAAAGTCGAAATGAAATTGATTTCTTATTTCGGGCTTTTGGAGGTTAATACGCATCTGGGCAGAAAATAATCAATATAGATTTATATTTTGACTTATCGAAACGCAAAAATACAGAAATATTTTGCCAGGATTTAGCAGCACATTCCAACCGAAATTATCAGAGAGAGATAAACTTCTGTTTAAAGAAAGGTTCTGTTTATTTTCGATATTTTGACATTTTGGTACTCACAGCGTGAGTAGCACGTTTTCCGAAAAATGTTCGGTATAACCTACATATAAAGGTCCTGACACTCCACATTCAAGGTGAATAACCAATTTTATATCAATATAGGTGCACCTATTAAAATATCCTATTATACAAAGTTTGCGGTTAAAATTTAGAACTGGGAGGATCCAAGCCAACCTGATTATCTGGAATTTGGCATTTCATTATTTTTGTGGTGTAAACAACCTACTACAATTACATAGTTCCCTACAGATGTAAGAAATTTTGAAATTCATCGATGGTGGAGTGTATAATGAAAACGCAAATATTTATCATCAAGTGTCGAAGTACCTTTTTCCTTCCGATTCAGTCACCTAGAAAACATAGTTTTAAATGACCCAACAATACGAAGCGATTTAAAAAATTTGGACTGTATACATACATTGGTACTGTAAACTCTTAGAGGATATATAGATCTTTAAACAATGTATCCTCCCAAATGATTTCTTTGTCTTCTATAAGAACTTAACACTAGATTGCCGAAGGCGGTCATATTAAAATATTAATATTAAATAATCAAACTACTTCTATTATTGTATAAAGTAAATTTCTTATATGACCAGATCAGTACAACAACATCGACAACCGTTTGCTACTCTAGAAACACAAACGAACACACAAATCGGGGAAAAAATTATATTTCCAGTCGATTTCACTCTTAGCGTAAACACTTACTCTTTTTCGAACATTTTGTCCGCGCTCTTATTTTTCAAAAGGGGAAACTCGAGAGCTCTACCACCGAAAACAAATAATAACAACGTTTTGTGCGATTGTAAATAATGTAAAAAATATTAAAAAATAACTTTAAAAAATTTTCTTTACACAATAAAAATTCTTTAAGAATGAGGTCATTTTGACCGATTTTAGACAATATAGGTATATACAAAATTCCAGTGTTTCTAGTGTTAAGGCCTTCTTTAGCCACAAAACATTTGGATCTAATGTAAAACATTGCGCTCTTCCCTATGACCACTTGACCTTCTGTAAGACCTCTTGATATTCTCTAGCACATTTTTAATAAGAACTTTAGGTCCTCTGTATGACCTTTCTGTAGTCTTCAATACCTCTTGCACATCTGTAAGCGACACATAGCGACATTTCGGATTTTTATAGGAGCTCTGTGTCGTATTTTATATATATAAAACCTATTGGAGCTATTAGCCCCTTTTATCTTCTATAAGGCCTTTTTATCTCCTATAAGTTAATTTGTGACTGCTGGACTGGACTAAAATTATTTTATAAATCTAATTGGTCCTATTTTTAATCACTTGCTCTGCTTGTTAGTTTGCAACACCAACATTAAAATTCACTTCTTTCATTTATTTAAAATTTTCATTATTTTAAGAGAAAGCGTAAGGGAACTTCAAGGCTTATTCAAAACAAAATAATTACAGAAATTCACATATAAATGTGTTGCCAAATAAACATAATCCATAAAAATACATTTCTTTTAATTTTTTAAAAATCTTTGTTTACACTAAATTATTGCATATCTTTAAGACGTTCATATATAATACATACACTTTAATATACGTTTTTGGTTTGGAGGTACTTAGGATAATATGCAACATTTCATGGTTTTTTATTTCCTGCAATGCATCATTGTAATGAAACAAAGTGGTGATGGTGGTGGTAAAAGGAATACAACGGCATCTCCTTTGGTTTTGTGTTCACTTCGTGACAGGTAAAAGTAATAAAGCCAAAATGTTCATAACACCACACACATCACTTATACAAAATGAAGTGCCGTAGTTCTCATTTTTTGCCATGTGTTGTATATGTCTCCAAATGACTTAGTGTCACTGGAGAACAAAACCCAACACCAAGCCAAACGAAAGCACAAAAGAAAATTACACTTACATTAACTTGTAGCGTCGTGGTATTTATTTTTTTTTACATGAGCATTATTTTTGTGCGAAAAAATACTTCCTAGTTTGTTTGCGCATAAGACTGTCACACCACATGTCACGGTGAGTCTGTGTTTCGGTACTTATGACAATTTTTTTTTT